GGGGGAAGGGAGCACTCTTTTGGCTTCCCTTTGCTTCCCCATCAGAAGTCATTTTTCTGTGGGGAAGCAAAGAAATCTGCAAGGGACATGAATTCTGCGCACTCACAGTGGTGCAGAATTCCCCCAGGAGTAATTAGCCAGATCCTCAGCAGATGCAAATCAGCATAGATCCATTGACTTCAGCCAGTCAACACCAGCTGAGCATCATTTCAGTGGCCAGGACCCGGGCAGTGTGAGTGCCACTGAAAATCAGCTCGCGTGCCGCCTTCGGCATGTGTGCCATAGGTTGCCTACCCCTGGTAATGTATTTTAGATGATCTCTTGTAAAATTACTAAGAGACTGATAATTGATCATTAACTTTTCAGGCTGCAAGCCTGGACTCCTAACCAAATCCCCCAAAGTCCATGAAATACTTTGAGGCATGTGTGAATAATGTAGTAGGGAAATGGTGATCCAATATTTATTTGAACGAAGGAGCCAAGGTGATCACTCGCCCCCTCACACCATAATTAATTAATTAATTGCTGCTGTTATTTTTGGACTGGGAAATCTCCTCTCTAGTGCCTGGGATTGAAAGCCGCCAAACTGAATCTCCCTTCAGTGTATTGACTCCATTACTATTTAATAAGGGCTTTTGCCTATGCCTGGCGTTCTGCTGCCAAGGCTGCTGAAATAGAAACATCTAAAGTCACAGTCTTTAGATGCTGAGAGTCCTTTCAAAGAACGAGCGCTGCGTTTAGAAATATCAAACGAATCAAAAGCTTAATCCACTGGAGGCTTCATCCATAAACTGATAATATTTGCTGTAGACAGGCCGAAAGGACCTGCTGCACAATTACTGTAATTTATCCAGCTTGCTTAGAGATTGGAATTTAGCCTAGGAATCTCTGATACCGACACCACATCTTTTTAGTCATATCCCAAGCACGTGGCCCAATTGACTGGACTCGATTCCTGGCTCTGCTATGGACCCTGTCTGTGACTTTGGGTGAGTCACTTAGCAACTCTGTGCCTCAGTGGTTTTCAGAGGAGTTACTCTGAATGTGTCCCCTTCTCTCTCTCTGTCACCCTTCTGCGTCCTGCCCCTGCACTCTTACCAATCTTAGTGCAAGCACCTTCTCCTCTGCAGCCCCTGAAATAGCTTGCCTGTGATTCTCCATCTCATTTTAAATCTCAACTAGAAGCTTCTTCTCTCTCCTGGAAGCTTTATGCGTCTCTGTTCCACTCTCCCCCTGTTATCTGTGGTGGTTTTCCTTTGCATTTGTAACTGTGTCTGTTTAACCCTATTATGCATGTTTGGGGCAGGCTGTGGGTGGAAGATGCTTTATCAGGAAAGTTGTGCTGTGTCTGGCTGCATCAAGTCAGAGGTGAGTTTCATCCCACCCTTTTCCGTGTGTCTTAGGGTATATCACGGTGTTGCAGCTGTGCTATTGTAGTGTAGAATTGTAGATGCTTCCTACATCCATGGAACGGGGTTTTTGTGTTGCTGTGTATTTAATCCATCTCCCCGAGAGACAGTAGCTAGGTTGATGAAAGAATTCTTCTATCAGTCTAGCGGCATCTACGCAGGGGGTTAGGTTGGCCTAACTGCATCACACGGGGTGGAAACTTTTTCACAGTCCTGAGTGACGCAGCTCAGTTGATCTAATTTTTATGTGTAGACTTGGCCTTCTACACAATATCTTGAACAGCTCTGGAACCTGCAGGGTAAAAAAACCCACTAACCAGGTTACAAAGGGAGACTCTCTTGCTGCCCTAAGCAATCTCCTGCCACCAACTGCTGCACAGTGTTCATGAGCGGTTCAACGGCTGCAGGGTTCCGCCCCAGAAGTGGCTGCATCTGTGATGTGAGAAGTGGTCCCTGTATGGATAGTTGGGGAAATCTTTCGGGATGGAAGGAGCTAGCGTGTACAGGATGGGGTTTCCAAGGAGCCCACAGGGAGTTCGGCACCTAAATTCCCTTGGGAGCTGTAGAATGGATAACGTCCCCATCTGTGTCCCCTGCTCTGCGCTGTGGGTTCAGGGGAGCAGAGGGAAGGGCCAAACCAAGCACCCAGCTCACCAGCCAGGGAAGGGCTGTATGGATCCGTGCAGCCTCCATAAATGCCTCCTCCGCGACTTTTCTGCAGCCAGTTGATCTTGGTGAGCTGTCAGATGCTGGCCACAGCGGAGGGGGCTGGGGGAGGATGACCAGTGGGGGTCAGGGATTGCTCCCCCTCCTCCCGCAAGTATATGCCCCTAACACCATGTGATTCCTCTCTCCTCCCTTCCAAGCCTCGCCGGGGCTCTCCCTCCCCTGCAGCGGCGGCGCCCCCCACGCCGGAGGAAGGAGGATAAAACCCAGCGCTGGAGCTGCAGAGAGCTCACACACGCCTCCCCTTTCCAGTGGCCGATCCGCTCCCAGCCCACCCCGGCCCTGCGCATCCTTCTCCCCTGCGCGCCCCTTTGCAGCGCCTGGGAGCTGAACGGCGCCCGGAGACTCAGATCACAAGGCGGGGGGGGAGAGACTCTGGGGGTCGCCTGCTGCAGTCCAAAGGTAAGACCCGCTTTTCATTCTCTTAATCGCGGGGGGGGGAGGAGGGTTGGCTCTGTGCGTGTGGGTGGGTGTGTTTGCGCGTGCAGGGGATGGAGAAAGGGCCGTTGTGCAAACGCCCGTGCGCACACACATCTCATTGTCTGGAGGCAGAGGGTTTCGGCAGGAGGGATGTTTGAAATGCACACACCCGATCCATGCAAGCATAGGAACCCTCTGCCTCATGGTATTTGGAGATCAGCACTTGGGAGCTGTGCTTTGGGGTCTGAAGGGAGAGCTTCCTGGGAAGAAAATACTTCACACATCCCCTCTGCTCGTCTGCACAGGGGAGCTAGAGAATGAGGAGAGGAGAGACCTCACCGCCTTGATCTCAGCATTGCGGAGCATGGCACTTTATCACTAACAAAGAGGGAACTTTGAGTCCATCCTTGAGGTTCAGTTATTCTGGGACTTGGTGTTCGAAATATTTCCTTTGGCTTGATGATCCCGGGCAGCGTCTCTTTGCTCTGTGGGGTGAGCAGAGTCCAGGCTGAAAGCGGATTCTGCTCCACCTGCACAATGTGCTTTTTCCTTTCCTCCTCTTTCTGAGAAAGCGCAAACTCTTAATGGACTGATGAGAAACATGAGCCCTGGGGGAAGCCTCACTAAAGCCACTTCCCTTTCTCTGCCCTTTGCCCAGTGCCCATAGAGCAAGGGGAATCAGGCAAGGGGAGTTGACAGCTGGGGGGTTAGAAATACAGATTGTGGTGGCATGGAGAACTGGGGCAGATGAAGGAGGTTGGGGCAAAACCTGCAGTATCTACTACTCCAGTAGGCAGAGGTGTAGTAGCAGGCCACCTTTTTGCCCCCTCCCCCCATGTGCCCATGTGATATAAGACTTCATTTGAACCATAGCTAACCGTGAAAACCAAATCCACCCAGGAATAACTCTGAATCACTGTGTTATAACAGGTGGAACACTTTTGTCCCCCTCTATTTCAGCCCTGCCAGTTTGATGAGTGGGAAGGTGTTACCCTGTGACACAGAATCAGGGACAGAGCGATGGGGGGAGGAAGGGTGTTAAAAGCTGTAAGAAGCAGTATAAATATAACACCGTGGGCAAGACAACAGCAGCAGCACCAAGCAACAACAGGCAGCTTCAGTGTGATGCAGCGTTATAGAACACAGGCGGCTGGAACATATCAAGAGAGTACAGGGTCCCTACAGGAAAACACTCATTTGAGAGTAGGTTTCTTCTGTGGCTTTGATAGACGTTAACTACTCTTTGTTAGTCTCTAAGGTGCCACAAGTACGCCTGTTCTTTTTACTCATGCAGATGAGATGCTAATTGCCATGTTAGCCACTGGTTGGCCAACCCTTGTCTAGTAACTGCTAAACGCATTGCCATTTCTTCTCATTCTCAGACATGAGCTCATATTTAAAATACCCAGCTATAAAATACTGCATCGAATAGGGCCAGGCTACAACAAGGAAGGTCAGAGGAATAGGTGGGGGGAGGGACAATCACAATGGTATGTGATTTATGTTGCCTACTTTGATGTAAAAGCCAGAAAGCTTAAAGACATTCTTCTAAGGTAATTTATTGGGCTGTCCAGGAGGTGCAGTGTTGGTCTGCATATCAAAGCTGATCTTAAGTGAGCCTAGGGCCTCCTATACCTGCCCATGAGAGTCAAACCCTTACATGACCTAATTGTTTATTTCCTAATGTTTTCGGTGAAAAAATGATATAGAGAATTAATTCATTTTGAAGAAATTCTGTGTGTGATGCTGAGAGAAAGGGGTGTGATGATTGGATAAAGGCTATTGAAGTCTTATCTCATTAGCTGATACTTTTCAGCAGGCCTAAAGTATAAAGACAGGAGGTGTAGCTTGTTCTAACTGGTCTATGCACAGTGTTTGTATTGGTATAACTGTGTGTGATTTTTTTTTCTCATACCGATACAACCCCTCATGTGGACAATGGTATGTTTATCCCCTTCCCATATGAGGAATAATCACCAGTATCCACACTTTTGTACTGGTATAATTGCATCTGCACTAAGGGGTTGCACCACTTTAGCTATGCCATTATAGTTAAAGTGGTACGATTTTTGTGTGTGGACAGGACCATGTTTGAAAAGTCCTGTGCCAACAAGGCAGTGTAGACTTTAACACATGCTAACCTGATTAAGTTAAAGGTTAGGCTCTCCCCCACACTTTATCTCAACCAGTTTAACTTGCGTGACCAGCAGTGTGGGGTCTTATCTATACTGAATTGTCAAATATGTCAGAATGCGTTAGCTACTGCATTCTAACAACGTACACCTCTACCCCGATATAACGGGAGCCAAAAAATCTTACCGCGTTATAGGTGAAACCGCGTTATATTGAACTTGCTTTGATCCACCGGAGCGCGCAGCCCCCACCCCGCCAGAGTGCTGCTTTACCGCATTATATCCAAATTCGTGTCATATCGGGGTAGAGGTGTACCTTTTAACCTAGTCTAGATAAGGTCAGAATACTGAAGTGCCTTCCAATCATCGGAGTTGCTGGGTCCCAGTTAAAGAAGAGGTGATTTGTGATGAAATAACATGTACAGCTTCTGAGGCCGCGCTCTCTTGTTTTTATGTTGTTGTTTTTCCCGTCCAGCTATAATTACTTCTCGGTAACTTCTTTTTTCCCTTTAGTGTTAACACTATCAAAAAGATGTTCCAGCGCCCGGATCGTGCAGTCTTTTATCACACTAAACAGTTACAGTCTTCAGTAAGAATTTGACTGCAGGATTAGTCCCAAAAGAGAGATCGTTCGTGATTTAGATTGGTTAGGAGCTTTAACCTGTGGCTGTAGAATTTCATGGGTCCTGCAGGATGAATGCCATTGAATAACACTGAGTTTCTGCTTAAAAAGAAAAGTGTGCTCCTTCCTGCAGGATAAGGGAAGTGTTAAATCCCTGGCAGTATACAACTCTTCCCTCACTTGTTCAACTTGCGTTGGCGGATCAGTTATTGGAATGTGCCGGTTAATAAACTCCCCCACTAAATTTTAAATCTGTTAACGAGTTTATTAGCGCTCTGCTTTTGTTTTTCTCGTTCTTTCTCTGTCAGTAAGGACATTCATTTGTACTTTCATTTTCTATATCCCAGTCTTATTGGCTTCAACTTGTTAAACTTGTAAAGTCATTACAAGAAAATAGGAGTTGGTCAAGTGATTGATTTGGCGAACTCTGCTAACAAAGCAATTTGCAATTGATGCTGGGTTTCCTTGACTAAGAACTTTGAGCCAGATTCTCAACTTGAACTTGGGTAAATTGTTGCGCTTCACTGAAGTCAATGGAGCTACAACAATCTACGCCAGCTGGGGATTTGGCCCCTTGACTTTAGAATCTCAGTTCTGTCACTTCAATAAAGTCAGCCTGTGCTTCCCAAGTCTATATAGGAAGGGTTTGCATGTGTTGGGTTGTTTTCCTGAGACACTGCCCACTGGGGAGAAAAAAAAAGCTTCCAGATTCATTTAATCACTGTAGAACCAGCAATGCTAGCAATCAAAGCTTGTACAGAAGTTGGTCCAAAAAAGATATAACCTCACCTATCTTGTCTCAGTGCTAACGCTGATTCACAGCAGTAATGAAGTCTTGATATGAAAAAGTGAGGTGTAGTGAATATAAAAACCTACGGTACCCAGGACAGTGAGAGGGTAACAGACAACATGCCCTGCAGCTGGAGAAGATAATGTAAATTCAAGTGAGGCAACACGGAAAACACCTGACCTGCTTGTTAAATGAAGTATAAACAAAAATATTAGACCATTTGTTGCCATATGAACAAGTGAACTGAGACATGGAATCTGTCTTCTCTTCTGCAAACAATGGTTATTAAAATCCGCAGAAAGTATTGTGAGCTGTAAAAGCTGGTATTTTAGCCATCATGTCAGTTAGCTGGAGAGGGCAGGGGGGATTTTGCATACAGAGGACTGCTGACTAGTTGTTCAACATTTTGAAAACTATCCACCCCTTAAGGTTGACATTTTTAGCATCTTTTGCAGCCACTTTTTTCAGATCCAGTGGAGACCCCTTTTTCTAACCTAAATACAATCGAACCGTTCTCAAGTGAGCAGCAACGGCGAGCTTGTTTGCTTTGCATAGAGCTCTTGTCTGGTTCGCCATGCTGCTGCCCTCCCTAATGCTAACCATCCATTCCCGCGCCTTGCTGAGAGAGGTTTAGTGGTTCTGTCAGTCAAAAAGCACAGTGAGGAAACTCAGTACCCCCAATTTTGGCACGTGTGTTAAAAGCCAATTTTTTTTTTTAGTCACTATATGTCTTTGTAAGGGGTAACTAACAATGGGAGAGAATTATCTGACTCTCTGAAGAAAGCCCTGCTGAAGGAATATTAACATATTAGCCCTCTTTGGATGAAGTGCCTTTTGTGTCCATGTTTTCCTTTTGAATTTACAAAAAACATAATTTGGTTTAATTTTAACAACTAGTGTGCTGCTGTTTTTTGGGTGGGGCTGCTCCATGCTGTTGCACCGTGACTTAGGTTGAAATCAAGTCCACTACAATCACTTTCTACATCGACTGTGCTCTAACTAGGTTGGGAGAATAATGGAATAGTTTCCAGGCCCATAACCTTCGCAGCAGGCAAGGGGTACAGACTGTAGTTGAGGAAGAGGATGAGAAAGTTGCTTTTTACTAATGACTGCTCTTACTTTCATCTTTTGGGGCAGGAACTGTCGTTTTTGTTCTGCGTTTGGGCAGTGCCAAGCACAGTGTGGTCCTAATACATGACAGGGTCTCCTAGGAACAACGAGAATACAAATAATAAGCAATAATAATAATCCGCTGCCAATTCCCCCAAGGAGCTGATATGGTAGTGAAGGGTCTGCTGGGCAGAAGGGAGCCTTGGTTGCATTCCCTTTCTTCCAGCCATGCTCCTTACACAAAGAGTGGGGCATGGCATAGGAGCCTCTGCACTGGGGGCTGGTCTGCCCTGGAAACTGACATCAACATAGCTACATCTCTCGGGGG